TCAATGTTATGTAAACTTAAACGGCGCTTGGAACGAGGCACTGCTGAGTGGAAGACAAGACGAACGCAGACAAATGGTTGTTAGCCTTCTAACAACTGCTAACAAAGCAGCAGTTAGTCTGTGTTCGTCCTGTCTGCTTCTACTCCACAGTGTCTCGTCCCAAACGCAGCACACGTTCGCATATGTCTTAACAACAAGCCCCCAGCACACGCTTTTTAAGTTCGCTGTTATAGACTGACAAATGAAGCGACCAGAAGTTTCCTGATGTACAACGCTTGCTGCTACTATCACAATCTTGAAAACCACCTGCTGCTCACCTTGGTGATCCAGAAGGTAGCCCATGGCGGTGGAGTCCCGTGGTCTACCCACGAAGCAGTCTCCGAGCTTGACGTAGGCCTCCCGGATGGCCGAGTACGAGCCGAGGTGCACGTAGTCCTTGCCGAGCAGGCGAAACATGAACACGGGTCCGTACTCCTGGGTGAGGGCGTCCAGCTGCTCCAGGGGCTTGAGCCCCAGGGAGTAGCCGACCAGGGGTAGTCCCCGTGGACCGGGAGGCAGGTCCCCGTCGCCACGCCTCGGCTTGCGGGACCTGTCCAGGAGCCAGCGGAAGACGAGCAAGGCAACGCCCGAGGCGGCTACCAGGAGTAGCCACGTCGGGGTCATGGTTCCTTGTTACACGTTACCCGGGTAGCCTGCACGGAAAGAAGCCGATGTAGAACTAGCCTTTGTTGAGTACAGTCATAGAACGTCACCATATAAGAATGAACTTACAAAGTCCATTATTACGTGTCGAAAGCCATTTTTTAATTGTGGTTTTCCACTGTCTCAAGGATTAGAAGTATTGCAAGCTTTCTGCACGTCATAGTCTCGCACAGCACTTGGCCAAGCGACAACATCACGAGATGACGTCATTATCGTGATATGACGTCGAGTGTTGTGAAGCTATAGTGACGGCACAAAATTTGTCTGTTTGTGACGTTATCATGACGTCACGAAGTGCCATCATCACGCCACGATGATTTTCGTGTTGTCGCCGGCCGCGGAACACCGACAGTCAATTTTAGCGTTTCAAGTTTTCGCCTTAAAATGCAGGCTCCGCTCGAAGCCATCCCTATCCCATCCAAATAGAATTAGCAGACTTTCAATCCAGTCACAGAAGCTTATTTCCGTGATATCAAGCACTGTTAGCACTGTTAGCGGATTAGTTTTGACCACCTGTGATTCTCAGCAATGAGATCGAAGTTCTGCCACTCACTGAATTAGAAAACTGGCATCACTGTTCTCTCTCACTCTCTCTTGTTAACACAAGACTGTTTTTATGAATTGCTTGACATATAACTGCGTCATGTCACTGCAGATATGGCTGACAAAGATAATGTTGGCTCGAATTTAAGTATTCGAGTCAAAAGTACGCCTGATACAACAGGAAACTGATGACGACAGAAACGAAAGTACGAGTAATAGTTTGGACAGTACTGTAAAGCTATCCCCGGCTTCACGAGACTCTATATACTGCGATCGCATTAGCGATATTTCATGGCACGATCGAAGTAGTAACGGAACACGATCAGGCCTCCCACAACACCATTAGACGCTGGCTACAGTCAACCACAATAGCTATACAGACCACGCGAGCGTGTACCTAAGAGCCTCTTCGCGACAAGTTCCGCTACGTAAGCGGCCATCGACACCAACGCGACGCCCAAGACGCATCCATCCCTTAAATGACGGCCTGGCTATTTTTCCACTGGGCACGAATATTTCCCCGCCTTTCACCTTGCGACGCCCACGTTGACGGCCACGGCTACGCACTTCTGTCTCGAACGCAGTCTGTGAACGTAACTTCTATCAGTCGCAATCTTTCGCACAAAGCGATATCTACCCTACGGCATATCGATCCAAACATATACTCCCTCGTAGTTTTGATTATTCTATCAAAGTATAGGTGTGACGTTCCTACCGCAGACAAACGCTTTGCGTGAAAACAACGAACTAACAATGCGCTGCGCGGCAGTAGAAAATTTACATAAAAAGAGGACCCGTTTCCGGCCCAGCGCGGAAGTTTACAGTTGATGGCGCAGTGCTAGGTGGCGCGCACGAACAATTTAAGTTTTCGTGGTTGACTGTACGTATAGTATACTGAAATACAGTGCAGGACAGCATAAGATACATGCATTTTAGACATTTTGGGTATGTTGTACCTGAATCGCAATATGGACACGTGCTGTGCCGAAACTCATAATTAGCAGCCTAAGTGGCGTGCCTTAGCTAATTGGCGTCATCATTGCTGATGTTTCTTTTGCTTCTAGTGCATATTTATGAACGCATAGCCTAGCTGAGAGTGAAAAAACAAAACTGTCCGGTGACAAAAGTATTACCACAGAAAAGGAACACAAATGTGTACGCTACACTATCTTGTGGTATACCTCAAGATTACGATTTTGGCATAGTTGCAATTTCTTAGAATATTAAATTTACTAATAAACAATACGCTATAATTTGTTACTAAACGACAAAGTTAAAAAATTCGAACTGTTTGATTGCGCGCAATCATCTGAAACAAAGCGTCGTTAAGGAACGAACACAATATGAACGAGCCATGGTAACTGCGTTTGGGGCCGGGTCAAAAGCTATTAAAGTTTTGATTAGGATGTTTCGTGTGGCCAATTTCCCGATTTAGGCAGCCGTCACAGCCCCTGAGAAACCATAGTCGTGCAGTCAATTTGTTCGTTGTGAGTTCACATCTGACGGCGGCAACAGAGACACCTGACAGCGCCTTGCTTACGCATTGGCAAAGTCATGCCTGTCAACTGGGACTTAAGCCTAATCAAGAAACCTTGGATGCTTTCAAATTTTCTGGCATTACAAATAACGCTTATCGAGCAAGAAGCGCCTCAACTTTCCGTAGCTCTAACTTGTGGTTAAGCAATCTTTTTTTACGCGGCAGAATTTGAACTCCGCACCGCGAGACTGTGAAAATGGTCTATCAAGACTCGCTGCCTCATAAGTTTGCGAAGTTCCTGCTTCCAGAACTTTGCTTTAATCATTAGCGATGCCCACACGGCTTCTGATTGACGAGCAACTTGACAACGACTTACTGACAACTATCGGTACTGTAAAGTACCGATAGTTGTCAGGTTATCGAAACCTATCCCGACGCATTTCCGTTACCTGTCAACAGCAGCGCTGCCCGCAAGGTGGCGCAAGTTGACAGCGCAATTCACGTGTAACTTGATACCTTCGGCAACGGCCTTCCTGTCAACCCCACCAATAACAGCACGACAGTGATCGGTTGCTGATCCAAAAGTCGTGGGTTCAACCACTACCTTGATTGTCGCGTTTCGTTGGAGGCCTGCGGCGTGTCAACGCAAGTTGAAGGAGCCCAGATGGTCGCAGTTCCTCGAGCCTTCGACTACAAGGTTCACAATCACATCTTAATTGGTTTCGGCACGTAACACCCCATACATTGACAACAACTTACCTTTCGAAGATGTACGCACTTCGCCGACTGTTAAGACTAGTTGGAATCCACAGTGGACAAGTCGCAATTCGACGTGACGCAGCACAGACAAACACTTCCACCACAGAACTCCGCGACAAATTTAGAATTACAGAAAATAAATGAAAAAAAAAGAAGAGACGCGTCATCATCGTCGTCTCTCAACCGCGGCGTGACGCAGCCGTTGTCGGTAACGACTCATCGCACCCAACTACATGCTACACACACGCACTCTATCGGTGGTACTGAGCAGCCATATCAAGGCGTCGCGCAGCTAGCCCTCGATTTGTCAACCGGGCGCATGCGCACATACTCAATCTTAAAAAGACTAACCTGAGAAACAAGATCCGATGCCGTCGGGTCCACATTCGTGCGCAGCGTATCACTCTTGCTTCCAACAACCGTGCGACAGCGGGACTCTGCGATCTCGAGAAGCTCGCGATGAGTCGGATCGTCGCACTAGACCCTCCTCCGTAGGCCCCGGCCGTCTCCCCTTTACCGGCTCGAAAAAAGCAACCGCGACTTCACGCGAAGACGGGGCGAGTCCGGAGAGGAGGATAGAACGTCTCGAGATGCGACTGAAAAGACGTCACTTATGTTGACGTCAGGGCCGGCGTGTCTAGAGCGGGTCCTGCGGTCGAGTCTGACGCTAAGAAGAAACCTTTCCCTCTCGGTGCCTTTCGGCGGGTCGCGCGCGGAAGCGCCGCTATTTTTTCACCGCCGCGAGGGGGCGCTGGGCTCGGGGTGTGAGAGGTGCTAAAGCCGGCTGTCGGAGATCCTAGGAACCGCGGCTCTAACGAGACCTTTCGTTTCTCGTTTGGCTTCTCCCCGACTGTTTCCGAGATGAGTGTAGCCTTTGCTCGAAGCTGGCAAGGCATCCATGCAGCAGCCGTGCTCGTCTGGTTGGCAGTCTTCCAGCGGCGTGAAGCTGCTGCGTCTTCTTCCGGACTCGCAGTAGCATTGTCGCGCGACTATGGCTAGGTACAATACAGAAGCAGCCAATGAACAAGTCACGACAAGCAAACAAAGAGAGCGGTGGTATGCAGCGCATACCGGGAGTACTGAGCGCCTCGGCAAAGTCTTCAACGCATTCGGAAAGATGGAGGGCGGAGACCGCAGGGACGCGTGCCTGTGGTTTGGAAATAGAACAGCGCACCTTGACGCTTCGAGGCGCGCAACGTAAATCAACCGCTTCGCTCTTTTCGACGCAGACGGTGGCTTTGACGACACTTACACGCGAAGCAAATAATTGCGCCACTTGTCAGGCATAGTTATGAGACCGGGACGCGTTTTGCATCGCTGGAGAGACGATTAGTCCGATTGCGCGTGCACGTAATCACTGCGCTTTCGTCAGTTTTCTCCATAACAATAATCAAAGTTGTGTAGGTGTTTCCTTATGAGAGCCAAGTTTTACTGCATTGATGAGCGGACGAGTGCTTTTTTTTACCACCCCACCGACGCCCATGGTGCAAGATAAAAATAGATAAAAAAGCACACACAATCAACAAACAAAGTTTACCTTTATCATAGGTGTGTAAACCGGCGGACAGTAATCACTAAATGTACATGGTGGGCGTGGACACTTCGATGATGCGGCGAAGATTCTGCTTTTTGTAGACTACAGCCTCAAAACTCGTCGAGTCTTCCAGGCTGGTACAAAAAACACATAGCTGCCATGGTCAAGATACTGTCCTGCAGACAACAATCGTTATGTGTCGCTGAAATATACGAACTGCCCCGCCCCGAACGCACGTGCGCAGAGACTGTCTCATAATAAAGTAAGTCGGCATGGAGACACCGCTATACAACATAATGAGACCATAACAACAAAACCGCAGAATAACAACTTAAAGAGCGCACTTCGGCGGGAATGTGAAGTATACACAAAAGCTTAATCTGCGCATGCAGCGCTATCTGTAATTCCGGTGCACTTGGGGGTGTATGCAAGAGATAACAAGTCGGGCATTTTCTTCATGCAAGCCATTCCGAGGCTGGCTCCCACATGCGCTTTACCACTACTATTAATATGACAACCCCCAAACGCATGTCTGAATTCATTCTTGTGCCAGTAAAACACTACACATTCATGGAAGTTTAGTGTGCATTCGTACCCTCGAGTCTGTCTCACTTTGCTAAGTACGCCAACTTCACACTTTAGGAGAGGAAAACAACGACAACAACAAAGACTTCTGTAGAGGCGTCTATTTGGTGACCACATAACGAAGCTCGCGACACAACGAAGACGATTTAGCCGTGGAGTAGTCAACGGTATAGTCATTAACCACATCGTCAACAATCACGAAACATAAGTACGTTGATTTCGACGACATCTCACGTTGTAGACACTTCCTGATTGGTCAGTCGCAGAGGAGGGCGCCTGGGCTATTTACCCTATTTCACACACATCATCTACCCCAGTACAACACATTTAAAAATGCTGAAGTGCTACGACGCTGAAGACGTAGGTTGCAAGACCAAAATTGTTCCAGCACAGATCAGTGCGATAAAACACAGTTCCAAGAACATGCCTCTCGATATCACAATAGAAAAAGAAACACGGCACATAAATTGTCCTAAACAAGGCCAACAGGAACGACTAGAACACTGACAAGGAGTGCACCACAGCTTTGCCGATCGAGCCGTTCTTGGGCGCACTGGCGCTGTCGGCGTTCGCGTTAACCGCCTTGAAACAGCACTTGCAGGCGCGCTTCCGACACCAGAGGACCTTGCGGTGCGCTCTCGCGACAAGCGTCACGTCGCCCCACGTGGGTCCGAAGGCGTAGCCCCAGTCCAGGAACCCGCCGGAGTCCCTAGGATCTCCGGGCTTGGCCCACAGCGCCAGGGAGTCCGCCTCGGTCGTGTACTTGTGGTTGATCCTGGACAGAGAGACGCCGCCCATGCGGGCCAGGGTGCCTGTAACGTGGACGTCGTCGACCCAGAAGTAGGGCCGGTACTGCGCCTCGGTGACCATCGCTCGGACGGCGGCCATGTTGGCCAGGTAAGCCCAGCCGGAGCAGTAGTCTTCGAAGAAGGAACCCGGATACTCACTCTCCGTCACCTTCCATTTGCTGCCTGCAGGAGTAACACACGGCAAGTGTCAGTGAACGCACGCACAACAAGATGTTGATTGTGGCCGCGTGTTGCACTATACACACAAGAGCGCTGCGTGCGACCTTTCCGGGAAGCTATCAGGCCTTCTGCAGCAGTCACCGGCTTGATGTTCAAAAACAAGGCTAATTAAGCGAGTTGTCTTTACTTTGACGCTGTCTTGCCGGCAGCTATCATACTATTTGCGAAGTTCTTCGTAGGCTCCACGCGTCGAAATCCCGGACAAGCCATTCCTAGGCTAGAAAACGGGTTAATAAATAGCACTTATGTTTGTTCCTGCAGTGCACAATCCTGCAAGCAATGCTTTTTATATACGCTTGCGGCTAGCATTTTGCTGACGATACTGCGTCTATAGAACTGGTGATGTTTTCTTGAAAGCACTTCTTCTAATTACTGAAGGTGTAAATCACATAGCGAGGACTGCAGCGACCATCGCGATGAGATGTGCCTGTCGTCATCACTTCCAGAGGGACTATTCTAGAACTTTCCCTCTAGCGTACTGTCCGTTTCGGCCGCCGTCGATTGGCCGGAGAGTTAACGAGACCTGTTTCCGGTTCTTGTTACGAAACGTCACTTTGACGTGACTGAGCTTCCAGAAATCTCGACACAACTGAAAGAAACAGATTGCGCTTCAATGCGGCGTACGCTGGCCCTTGAGATCCCGTTTTCGGTCGCGCGAAGCTCGGATACCATCCATTAAATCTGAGTGGTTATATCGCGTTCGCCATCGAAGAGACTTACGATCGACGACTCCCATTTAACGCACATGCGCGGTTACATAACGGCTTGAAGCTTTCTGCAGCAACTTGACGCACTCTGATGACACTAGGCCGTGATGGACCACTAGATAAACAGTTCCAGAATAGCTCCCTGGTTGAGCGTCGGTTACGCCACGAATACATCACGAAATCCATGGGTGTGTCCAGGTTTCGGCACCTAATTTCGCAACTAGCATGATTGGAGAACCCTGGCTGTTGAACGCGTAAGCCCATCCACGGAACTCTGCGAACCATCTCACCTTCGCTTCTGGAAATGGGCATCTGCTTCTGGACGTAGCAGAGGATGACTTTGCGATTCGACAATTCCAGCGAGGCCTTGGCCAATATGGCGGACAGCTGGAAGACGTGCACGAAGATGTCGTCGTCCATCTTGAGCACCCTGGCCACGGAAGAGCACCGCGTCGAAGCCCACCGCAGCGCCATCACGTGCTTGTACGTCAGGTTGCGGTACGAGTCCACGAAGTTTCCCTGCACCGTGTCGCCGAACCTGAAACGGACGACGCCAAAGTGCGACGAAAAAAAATTGATCAGGAGAGATTAGATCTTCCTAATTATGAGTCGCAAAAAATTAATGAGGAATAAATTTTTCTTGAATGGGCAAATTACTCTTTTTCAGCATACAAAAAAAGGACAGCTGCGCACTACTGGTGCGAAGCTGTCCTTTGACCTTTGAAGCTGTCCAGGTAATGGCGTTTCCTCCCTCCTTTCCCACCTTCCCAGCATCGCCGTTTCCCACGCATATATATAATACGTGGGCAGGGTAAGAACAACCAAGTATTTTCTAAAATTTATTAGTCATTGAACACTTATATATTCATTGACTATCGATTAGTTATCACAACTTGTGGGTCATGTATTTGGGTGAGGCTAAGGTCATGCAAGCATACTTTCGATTTCGAGAATTTATTTGTCATCGTTCACTTATTGATCAGCTATTGATTTATTAACGACTGGCTATCACTGGACTTAAGTCCTTCATTTGGGTCATGCTAAGCGTAATCGTTTCCTAGAAGTACACTGGTTATCGATCAATCATTGATTACCTATTGATAGATTATCGATGTATTGAAACGATGCTAAGTATATGCAATAATGTTTCCAGTATTTATTGGTTATTGACAGAGTACAGATTAGATATTGATCGGTTTCATGTTGGTTATCACTATCGATGTCTGCGCTTGCTTGGCACATATCTATGGACTGGCAGTAAGTGTAAAGAGTTCCGCTATTAGAACGCCACGCTTGCTACGACAGGACGGTCGGTACGCGAGAAAACGAACAAAAAGAAAATGCGGGAGGCAACGCAATGGCGAGCTTCTCGCAACAGTCGGCGTGACGTCAGAGATGTTTACGGCTTCTACCAGGGCCTGCACAGTTCGTCATCGGTACAGAATGAAGTAAGGTGCCTTCTGAGGCAAAAACATACCACGTTTCATGAAACTTCATTGCGCCATTGTGGACAACACACACACACAACACACACACACAAACACGCGCACACACACACACACACGCACACACACACACACACACACACACGCACGCACGCTCGCACACACACGCACGCACGCACGCACACACACACACACACACACATACACACACAAACACACACACACACACACAGATTCACGACTTCATTGTGGGAGACTTTAGCAGCGTATTGTAGCTTTTGACTATGATTTGTGTTTATCTTGCCTATTTGGTCATTGCATTATCCCTCCTGCGTGGCCCGGCATCGATAGATAAAGAATGCATGGCCTGCGTTATCGATAGACAAAGAAACTTAAATTAAAATAAAATGACTACTCATTACGAAAGTACCAAAGAAGTGCATACAATGAAATTTTCCAATCTTAAAACTATTTTCAATTATAATTGAAAAAAGATGTCACTCAAATACAAAAGTTTTTTTTTATCCTAATCATAATGTACAGAGAAAATGTGCGCAACATGAACGAAAGCACGTAGTCTCCATTCAGACTTGAAGGCACGTTTGTCAGGGCATTGTAAATGTTACTTGTTGATTCCCCCAACGTATGTTCGATTTCAACCATGGCCTCCAAGATGGCGGCCCATGCTTGAGTGGTGAAGCATGGCCTCCGAGATGGCGGGCGCATGCCGCGCGCCACCTCGGCGATCATGCTACAATACTCAAGCATAGGCGTACGCATTCGGAAGGGGGGTCAGGAGGGGCGCAAAATCTGCCCCAATACATTGACACGAACGGGGGGCGCTGCGGTGAACCGAGGCCTACCTTCACCCCCTTGATGGAGAACCATACATACACTCAAAACACTCAGTCATCGACAAAAAGCCATTGGTTAACTTCACCCCCTAGATGGAGAACCATACATACACTCAAAACACTCGGTGATCGACAAAAAGCCATTGGTTAACTTCACCCCCTTGATGGAGAACCATACATACACTCAAAACACTCAGTCATCGACAAAAAGCCATTGGTTAACTTCACCCCCTAGATGGAGAACCATACATACACTCAAAACACTCGGTGATCGACAAAAAGCCATTGGTTAACTTCACCCCCTTGATGGAGAACCATACATACACTCAAAACACTCAGTCATCGACAAAAAGCCATTGGTTAACTTCACCCCCTTGATGGAGAACCATACATACACTCAAAACACGAAGTCATCGACAAAAAGCCATTGGTTAACTTCACCCCCTTGATGGAGAACCATGCATACACTCAAAACACTCAGTCATCGACAAAAAGCCATTGGTTAACTTCACCCCCTTGATGGAGAACCATACATAAACTCAAAACACTCAGTCATCGACAAAAAGTCATTGGTTAACTTCACCCCCTAGATGGAGAACCATACATACACTCAAAACACTCGGTGATCGACAAAAAGCCATTGGTTAACTTCACCCTCTTGATGGAGAACCATACATACACTCAAAACACTCAGTCATCGACAAAAAGCCATTGGTTAACTTCACCCCCTTGATGGAGAACCATACATACACTCAAAACACTCAGTCATCGACAAAAAGCCATTGGTTAACTTCACCCCCTAGATGGAGAACCATACATACACTCAAAACACTAAGTCATCGACAAAAAGCCATTGGTTAACTTCACCCCCTTGATGGAGAACCATACATACACTCAAAACACTAAGTCATCGACAAAAAGCCATTGGTTAACTTCACCCCCTTGATGGAGAACCATACATACACTCAAAACACTCAGTCATCGACAAAAAAGCCATTGGTTAACAACGAAAAATGCACATTGGTGAACGCAATGGTATCACTAAAAAATTGGCAGATCCCACGTACAGTGGGAATCGATGATATGCGAAGCACGAATAAGAAATGCTGATGTCACTTTAAAATCAACACAACGTTACGAGGTGGAGGTGAATGATGGCATACATGACTTCCATGTCATGATGTGTCGTTTACCTTCGCGATCTATTCGCATAACGTGATACCAAATTTAGTGTATGTGGAGCTAGCGAAACAGCCGCGAGCACGCTGTGTGCGTAGATTGTTGTCATGTTCTTAGATGACATGCGTGTCAGGATTATCCCATTTGCACCAGTCATATATTAGTCATCCATCGACGTCACGTAACACAGAATTCGGTATATGTGGAGCTAGCAAAACGGCCGCGAGTGCATCATGTAGGGCCCAATACACCCCAATGTAGCGCTGACGCGCGCGCGCTGGGCACAGCGACGCTACGTTAGCAAAACGCGAGCACTCTATAGTCTGACGTCGGGCGCGACCAGCGTCCGTCGGCGCGGCCCGACGGCAACCGGCGCGAAATGCGACATGCTGCATTACGCGTCCATGCGTTACCCAAATAACACTAGAGAGTTTCAGTGTGCTACGTACGCATCACGCAAGCGCCTTGCGTTACGTGGCGTCGTTTGCCACTAATCGGCTTTTAGTACGCCGTAGTACCCGCGTACGTAACGAGCGTAAAGCGTGTTGCGTCATCTGGTAGATCAAAATAGAAGCACGTGTTGTTGACAGCCAATGTGAGCCAATCCAAGTGTTATAGCCAGATTATGGCCATATTTTAAGCCACAGAGCCGGTCGGTGCTTGCCTTCGATGCTGCCATTTTGCAAAACGAAGTCTCGCGCTGTCGCGAACTTGTTCGAGAGCGGCGCGATCAGCTCATACGTACGCACGCACGCATCTCATGCGTGCGTGCGTAGCGGCTGCGTACGTAACGCGATACGTGCGCGTTGCGGTCTGCGCATGCGCACTACGCAGAACGTGGCGTCCTTACGTACGCAACGCCGCCACGTACGCAGCGCACGCAGTACTAAAACTCTCTACTGAGTCTCCTTTTCGTGACGGAGGGACGCTGGACGCGCTGAAACGCGCATGCGTCCAAGCAACGCCGCGCGCCTGCGAGTGTATGGCAGGACCGGCGCCTGGCTTGGCAACACCGGCGTAACCCGACGAAATGAACGACGGCGAGCACGCGCACCGCGTCGCGTCGAAATGTACTGGTGCCTTGAATGTGGCATGTAGTCATGTTCTCACATGACACGCATCTCATGATTATTATGTTTGCACCAGTCGCGTACCTTCGTCATCTATTCGCGTCACGTAATACCAAATTTGGCATATGTGAAGCTAACGAAACGGCCTCGAGCACATCATCAGTGTGGCGTGTAGTCATGCTGTTACATGACACGCATGACATGATTATCATGTTTCAATGTGTCATTTATCTATGTCGTCCGTTCGCATCGCGTAATACCAAGTTTGGTGCATGTTAAGCTAGCGATACGGCCGCGAGCGCATCATGAGCGTAGCATGTAGTCACGTTGTTACATGACACACATCTCATGATTATTATGTTTGCTCCAGTCACATACCTTCGTCATCCATTCACGTACTGTAATACCAAATTTGGTATATGTGACGCCTGCGAAACGGCCGCGAGCGCATCATGAGCGTGGCATGTAGTCATGTTGTTACTTGACACACATGTCATGATATTCATGCTAGCGTCTGTCGCTTGCGTTCGCCATTCAATCATGTCATACCGTACCAGTTTGGCAACATGTCATGTGAACTAAACCACCGCAAGAGCTGCAGGACCATGAAATGTAAATCACGACATTCATGACATACGTGTCATGATTTTCATCTTACGACTAGCCAAATATGTTTTTTCTTACAGTCATGTTATGCCATACCAAGTTTGGTGTCGATACCATTATCGAAGCGGCCAGGAGAGCTAAAGACCGTAGGCGGCTCGATAGACAGACAGACAGACAGACAGACAGACAGACAGACAGACAGACAGACAGACAGACAGACAGACAGACAGACAGACAGACAGACAGACAGACAGATAGATAGATAGATAGATAGATAGATAGATAGATAGATAGATAGATAGATAGATAGATAGATAGATAGATAGATAGATAGATAGATAGATAGATAGATAGATAGATAGATTCAAAGTTGCCAAAGTTCGC